TATTGTAAAACTGTATGTGGAATTACTTCTTGCTATTGTAAAACTGTATTTATTACTTCTTCTCCATTGGACTATCGCTGCCGCCTATGTGAAATGTCAGGTACATGTAAGGAGGTTTCCGGTTTTTTATAAAGTGTGACAGCCAAATCCCATAATAAGCACAAGTATCATACGAGTGTGTTTCGATGTGCCTCAAAGACCGACCACCTTGACCATACGGTTCGCAACATCGATCTCTGGTCATGGTTCAGAGTTTTGTTCAGAGTTCTTGTTTTTTTATGAGATTAGCTCTTGCGATTGACTTAATTGTGGGAAGATCCATAATAACAGTGCTGCGCATATAAAACCATTTTTTTTGAATTCAAAGCAGCATATTGAATTCTTTGATGCAGCTGTGTGGTAAGATTTTAATCGAAAGGATGTGTTTCAAACCATCTTTGTAAACACTTCTATCCTTGTTCACTGGTTATCCAACTTACAGGCCCACAGCATTGGCCGTCTGTACTACGAAGCATGTGAAGTTGTGCAGCATGATCGTCGGAGCGAAAATACAAAAATTACAAAACCGGTCAACGAGCAGCTGCGAGATTATCCGGTGTGTTTTACAGCGGGTGGACTGGCCAATATCGACACAAAATTCCTTATGACGGTATTATTGTCAAAATAACACAAGGTCTCCTAACCGATTCACTGCTGTTTTTATTTGAAAAAGGTTTTGGAATTTTCCTCACATATTTGATTGTTATCCACGAATTGACCAATCGGGAGGAACTAAGGATGGGATGCACTAATGGCATTAAGGGACTGGTCTCGCTAAACGAAACCATGCAACTCAGGGTTAATGAGGAAACAGAAGAGATACGTCTGTAGCTTTGCGAAATACAGACCCTAACTGATGTCAACAAAATAACTCTAAATAACTATTATACTGATAGGATTCTATCGGTATAATAAATTTATCGGCAATGAGCGCGATACCGACACCGGGAAAAATTTGAGACCGCTATAAAAATACGATGCAGATGATTGTGCTTGTGTAACCTGAGGCCATCTGCTAATGCCAGGCTGCCAGCCGTTTTCGGTATACGATGCGTGGTTTCATTGTCAGTACAAAGAATACTATGAAGTACTTTGCACAGGGTGTGTCTTCTTGATAGGGTGAAGAGAAACACCAAAAGTAAATCGATTTGTGGAAATTTTTTTGTGGTCATCTCAAACGATGTGTTTGTTTCTGTTTTTGTCGAATGTGTTAATTTCTGTTTTTGTCATTTCATTTGTACTCGTATGTACTCATTGCTAACCATCTACATAAATGTTTTTAATAGGCAATAGCCATCAAAACAACAAAATGCAAGCGCGGGCACACTACTTCATAGTTGAAATTTAAACACTGAAAAAACAACCAAAATTTCTATCCACCCGCGGGTTAAAAGGTAAAGTGCTTAATACAGCAGTAGCATTTCCCAAACTGAATCGTTGCTTGATAAAAGCAGTAGAACGCGCTTCTCCGGTTAATTCACAAATTTTCCGGCCCATAAAATGTACCAGTTCACTTAAAGCTGGGCCGAAAACACCTAAAGTTTCAATCACTAAGGGATGAAAAATGTGCCGAGTTTCCAGTGGAGAGTATTTCCGACGCTTTGCATTTTCTGCCCGATGAGCCACACTTCCTGCTTTCTTCAAACTGCTGTGTACATGGGAATCGGCTACAGTGCACCAACTCGTTACGTCCCATACGACAGACATTCCTTGGCGGACTGGTAGAAGCGTCATGCCGTCCGGTCGTATCGCCTCACTTTGGGATAGGCCCGTCGGTTCCAGTTGACATGGGAATCCCGCCCTTTCGCAGCAGTTTTTCGCTATACTGTTCATTTCCCGATTTCTAGCCCATCATCCTTTCGTTGACTTATTGCAGGAAAGCCCGTGGTGGCCATTTGGTTCCACTATTTTTCCGCATGCGACGCAGTTATGTGCTGTCACTGCTGGTAATCCGAAACGTATTTGCCACTCCTATTCGGACTTCATCTCGCAAGAAAGTTCCAAGACACGGTGCAGGTAATGCATTCAACCAGGCCCCGGAATCTCTGCTAAATGCAGCCAACAGCACGGCTCTTGCGCGCTCATTGCCGATCGTTGATAACATCAGTTCCGATACATCCCTGTCAATCATCGGTACATCCCACACATACTGAAACTTTCGCACACAGTCTTCTGGTAGCATGCAGTTTGTCGTCTGAAGCCAGTTCTCTACAGCCGATTGCGTCATATGGTTCACCAGCCGGCGCGTAAAATCTGGGAACGAGAGGCTACATGAATAAATAGCTTGGGAAACAAAGGCTACTTAAACGACCATCACTCATTCACTTGACGTAGTGGTCAACTTAACCGGCCGTACCGCTGTCTGTAAAAACGTCGCGGGAGGCCGAGGGTCGTTGTTCGCTTTGCCAACTTTTTTCGGAATCTTGGTCAGATTGTCAGGCTTACGTAGACTGTGAGAAGCCGGCGCGAGGCAGAGACTCCTTACAGTTGGCTAATGAATCTTTGAAGCTTGGGTGATAATAACAAATTATTATGTAGTACACATTTCTAGCGCAATGACGACGATGTGCCTTTTTAAATTTTGCAGGAAAATTTATGGACGGATCGACTGAAGAGCTCGCTCCAAGAACCGGAATTGTTGCCGGAGCTTGGGGTGCCAGTTGAAGCGCAGGCGAATGATTTGCTTGATGCACTGTATTTGCCTTGTGAACTACTTGAGGAAATTTTCGCCTCACTGGACAGCGTCAACCGCAGCCGCTGCAGACGCTCGTGCGCCCTCTGGGACACCCTCATCACCGCGGACGGCTGCTGGAACGGCGTGGTGGCCCCCGGCCGACGAGAAGACGTCACGTTCTCCCGCATGCCGTTAGCCTTCTGGAGGGTGGCCTGTCTCATCCACTGCGTCAACAGCCGCACGACAAGAGTGACGCTGGTTAGAGTCAGCGATGTCGATTGCGACGGTGTGGTCAAATTGCTTCGCCACGTTCTGGGCAGCCGCACCCGTGTCCGGACGCTGGTGTTTACTGTTGCTCCTTCGGTTTTTCCCATATAAGAGAGTCATACCGGTCCGTCTCCCACCAAGGCGGGTATGTCGCGGAAATAACCCAGATATTCGGCATAGCGGAGCGCGTGTGCTGGGTACAGTGTTGGGTTGTGGTGGTGCATGTGTCGGCATTTGTGGCGCGGCACTCGGTCCTTTGCCAGCCCGATGAGCAGCTGGAAATTCAGTTGTGGGATCTGGTTGAGATGAAAATTTTTGTGCGGAAGCCGATAGATCTGGAGCGTTTGTCGGATTGGATTGCTCTTTCGGTCAGATTTACCATATTTGAAAAGGTTTGGCAGGTGAGCAGTTGCCTGGGTGATATGTGGTATCCGCACTTGGTGAATGCTGTTTTTAATGACATTCTCGGGGCACTTTTAAAACTGTTACGATTGCACGAGAATGTGACTTTGGCCTAGAACGAGTACTGGTCATATCTTACCTATGTGCTCTGCATTGCAACATGATTGCTATGTTTTGTCTACTTTTATATCTAAGCTCGGAAGACATTTGATGTTTTCTGTGCTCACGACACTTGTGTTTGCAGATCCGGTGTTATTATCAGAGTGCGGATCCGCGCTTGCCCACGCACTATCGCGGCTGCAAGTGGACGGAGACAGATGTAAAGAATGTAGATGTCACGAAATTGACTAAACTGGCCGCGACGGCTATATACAAAATCTTGGACGGGGTGCAGTGGCCGCCGTAGGACCGTGTTATGAGGGCATTGTCAGTTTTATACTGATCCGGTGACCCGATCTTCTGCTCTCATCCTGTGGTGAACTGGCGCGTCCGGTGTCCTGTGGTGAACGTGAACAGGATCCACTTGCATCGCCTTCCACATCCGTACGGCGCGTTTTCATAGTCCTCTCCGGTTTCTAAAGGTTTCTTATGATTTGTTTTTCAAGTTTCTTAGGGTTTCTTAGGTTATTCTTTGGTTATTCTTAGATTACTCTTCGGTAATTCTTCGGTTGGCCAGTTTCGCTGGTCAAGTCTGCGCTTCTCTGAAATGGAGGCAGATTTTAAGCGGTTAGGGTATGGTTGGCGTGCACTCACTTGTATCGGATAGTAACAGAGCAGCGAGAAACGCTTTTAAAAAATATGAACCTTATGGTAGATGAAGATCAAGTGTGAACTGCAACATGGCTATTTTGAATATGTGGTTTCTAAAAAACTGCATTATAGTCAGAAAAGTTCTGAGAGCAATACAATCATCTGTGCAGTGCGGTGGTAATTTGTATTCGAGAACGTGGAAGCGGAAGTTTGTCGGCCGAAATGCAACGTGAATGAAATGTTTGTTAGTCTCTCACAGGCGCCATCAAGTTCACAAGTCAATGAAATTTACAAGGCCATAGTCATAACACAGTCGCCGGAAGTAAGCTTTCAGTGAAGATTTCGGCCACGTGTTTAATCTCGTGGTCGAGGCGTTTGCGATATTTGGACTGACCTTGGCCGGTTCAATCCATTTCACTCGAATCGGTAATGACCGCAATGTTACCGGGGAATCAAAGTACGGTAACTGATCAACAAGATCACCCCTAGGTGAAATAGGCTAGAAATATCAGAGGGCGCCATAAATACAGCTGTCCGTGGGTATCTCAGCGAAGGGAGGGCGGCCAGATGAAGTCCGAAAGAATTTCCTGTTGAGAAAATTCTGAAAAATGGCAGCGGAGCGGAATCGAACCGCTGGCTACCGAGTGTGATCCACGTAGCACAGCCTCTGTGACCTCGCCGTTGTTGGCTGAGATCAAGATATTTGTGCTTGAGCTTGAGATAACCAGGTAGCCGGCGGATGTGGCGGCCGTCCTGAGTGCAGAGCCTAACTGCTCTGACAGAAAAAAACCAGGCTATATAAATTTCAGAATTTTATCAGCTTTCCTGATTTAGTTACAGATTTCAAAGACAATTTAACTAAGGTAATGAGAATAGTGCGTAACGGGCGCTTCTGCGTTGCGTCATCAGTCCGAACAGGAAAGTACTCGTACGAATATATCGAACAACGATTATGCAATGTTAAAATTCAATCCAGTCCCAACCGATAACAACATGACTGCGCAGCCATTTTCTTTTTATAAGGCGATTTCTTTAAAAGTTACGTCTCGGAGATGTCATGTCTAATACAGGATTTGAACTCTCAAAGGAACAACCCGGTTATAAACGACCGGACTGCGACAGCCAGTGCGCTCCTTGTATAATATTGTACAGCGCCGCTACAGTCACAGGTGTCAGCCTGCTGACATCAAGATCGGCCAGGTCGGAGGGGGTCCACTGACGGCCGCGATAGTGCGTTGAAAAGCGCGGATCCACGCTCTGGTAATCGCAGAGAATCTATAAATCACAAATAGTTATTTCGGATTTTCTCATATTTCGGTCACTGCAAGTATACGTTTTCATATGATCATACTGTCAACTGGTGTTAAACTTTCCTGAGAAAAAAATATCAGAAATGATCAGTTGTCATAATAAAAACTTCGCTCATGAATTAAAAAAAAACAAATTTAAAAAATTTTCATAAAAAAAACCAAACGAAAGAACAGGAATGGGATCAGGGGCAACGTAAAAGAACCGCTCTTCAGCCGCCACCCCTCGGCATGACGGAAGAACTAGCGCCGATACTTACGTAAAGTGACGGCTTTATCGTACTTTCTATTACTGCTTGTACATTCTCGGTCTTTCTCGTTTGTGTTCGGATTTACTTTGGATTGTTTCTACACGGATGCGCTGTGTCTTTGCAAGTCCGAGTGTGGCAGTACTTTGGGCATCGTCAGTTCTCTGATTCTGAATTTGGCAGTTTTGGAGAAATAAATTAAACTATCGTCGGAGACGAAGTTCTCGCTTCGCGTAGATTCGTAGACTTAGCTATGCCACCTTGAGATATTAGCTCATACTTTGTCGTTGAGTAGGTCGGTAGGATAGATTATTTACGGTAATTATTCCTATCATACTGATCTCTCCGCCCGGCAGAAAAGAGCAGAAGCTCCGCTATCCGCATACCTGTCTCAGCTGGTGGAACCGCTTATCCTTAATCACCGCCGACAAACGCGTCAGATCGATCGGCTTCTCCACAACGAGATTCCTCTCAAACATATCCCACAGATGCACTTCCACCTGCTCATTGGGTTGGCAAGTAATTGAGTCCTGCGGGACGACGGCTGTCAAAAGCTCCTCGGCAACGCGACACCGCAACCACACCACCCGCTCCGCCATGCCACTTATCCGCCGCAGACCGCTTATGGTATCCGACATATCCCAGCCTTCGTAATGTAACCAACACTCGTAGAACACCAGCGTCCCGACGCGACAATTGCGGCCGAGGACGTAGCGGACCAGGGTGTCCGCATCATCGCACTCGCTCATGTTCATATGCATCACAATAACCTTCTTCGTGCGAGTGTTGACGCAGTGGAGGAGGCACGACAGCGCCCAGAATAAGGGCGCCATGCAGGACGACGGACAATCTTCTCGGCGACAGGAGACACGCACATCGGGGAAGTAGGCGTCCGTGGTGAGAATCGCGTTCCACAGAGCGCAAACACGCCGGTAGCGTGTGCGGTGAATGCTGTCCAGCAACCGGAAGACTTCCACTAACAGCTCACTGGGGAAGGACTGGAATACTGCGTCACAACTGCCACGGGGCTTGCGTTTCTTCCCCTGACCTGTAACCTCAAGCGATCTTGCAAGAGGCAGGTGCCGCGAGATTTTTTTGCTGTTATATTTTTTCTTCAGTCGCTGGTACAGCTCTTCCTGCAACATATACAGTTACAACTGAATTTGTTCAGGGACCACCGATTGCACGAGTACCAATAAAATAAAAATTTTTGGGGACAACCCCTAAGTGTTGAATACTGTACGGCGTGTAAATGCCCCTGTTATTGGATTTCTGCTGGAAAATCCTTTTTTATGTTTTTCTACTTATTCCCATTTATGAATAAAAGCTATTTAGGGATACTAGGCCGGACAGCCCATATTTCCACTCACTTTAATATTTATAGGGTATAGGTAGCACTACCTCGGATCTCTGACAGTACCCATATCGTTATGTAGATTCTCATAATATGGATTACGCTACGGACGAAAAAAATTCACTATGATTTATACACACCAGTTCATAAGGTTCCAGTTCTCGGTCCAAACGATGCTGCAAGTATAGCAGAGTTTGGCTGAGCATCTGCGTGCACCACACTCTCCGCGCTGGAGGAATCTTGGACGGGAACACCTCACGGAGCACCCGCGATGCGCCAGACCAGGCCGTCGGCAATGGGCAGCCGCGGATAACCAGGTCTCTGGGCTGCACGCGGCGACAGGCCAAGTCGGCGTCCGAGAGCGAGCGGCGCACCTGGTTCATGGGCAGCAGCTCCTTGACGACGCCATGGGGCAGCTGCACCTCCACGATATAAACTGCAGCGTAATAACTTTCGTCCCCCAGAGATACTGCCTTTCCGGGGTACCATACCCAGGGGCAGAGGGGTCCCGCCCGCAGCAAAATCTGCACTTTAGGCTCTAGGTATGGGTCCAAAGGATCGGACGTTCTACACGAGTAGAACACGCGGCCGTATTCGACGAAGTGTGAACGCTGTGAGGTGCAGCCGAAATCAATGATCAGGCCGTTCTCCACCACGTTGACGACTCTTCCTAACTGCAGGAGACCGTCAACTAGGACCTCCACAGCGTTCCAGGCGTACATGGACAGAGACTGTTCGTTTTCCTCGTAAACTAGCATGGCCACAACGTCGTACGTGCCAGATGTTCGCAACTCCGGAGCTCTTCGCGATGAAATTACGGTGCAACGGAGATTTCCAAGCGCTTCCACCGACAAAATAATCTACTTCTTTTGCATTCTGAAACAGAAATAACTGTACTGACAGAAATTATAGTGGTATGATCAAATTTTTGAATGAAATCACAGCCAAACGTTAAAGAGATGTGAAGAAAAAGCTAGAAGTTTAAATTTAAAACATTGAAAAATTACAGTAACGTTTCTTCAGCTTTAATAGACAGCAAAGCTTCCCAAACGTAGCTGTCGTTCCTCGGCGGCAGCGTCAGCAGTCTTTCTTAGGTTTTATGCAGCTGCCCCTCTCGCTTTCACTTAGTTTCATGTCTTCGGCACTCTTAATATGTTAAAGTTTAAACATATTATGTTGCCTGGGGAGCAAGTACGCCGACCGCCCTCAGCCGCCGACTTGGCAAGCCGCCGCGTGAGCAACAGAGACTTTGTTACCCGTGGTTGTCCCTGGCCGACGACATGGTCCGACGGGTCGGCTATGCTGGACGATATCTGTAAGATAAACTGGAACTTGGTCTGGAAGCATTTACGGTTCACGGTGAAGAGCGGAACGCTGCACTATGTTCAGCGCAAATCAGCGCCCCAACCGGCGCTTCCTCCAAGTGAATTGGTACGGCTCCCAATATCTTTTATTGGCAATAGCAAATAATCATGTATTTAACAGCCATTACAAGTGCTGGTACACTCACAAAATTTATATCCATATCCAAAATTTATATCCATATCCAAAATTTTTGCATAAAAAGCTGGTTTAAAAACGCAATCGAATCAGCCGTAGTATTTCCTTTAAAACAGTAATTGAATATTTAATATTGAATATTTAGTTATTTATTGAATATTTATTAATGACAATTTCTTTTTACAGCTAGCCGAAGTTGTTATAAAATAATTGTTTTGATAGTTCTCACCCAAGTTGACCCAACATAATGTAATACTAGCTACAAGCACTGGGAAACTTCTTTTTAATATAAAATTTTAACATTAGAAAAACACCCGAAGTTGGAAGTCCTTGTCTTCGTTCTGGTGTTGAATGGTAACTCAAAATAGCCGTAGGATTTCCTAGCTTTAACAACAGCTAAACTAAAAAAGCTGCTTGAAAAAACCAGCTGAGCGCGCTTCTCCAGTTAAGTCTCGAATTTTAGGGTTCAGGAAATGCAAGTTCACTTGTTTTAAAAATTTTTTAAGGTAACTTCGTACGATATTTTTAAGGAAACCGTTATAGGCACCCCCTAAAACCCCCGTTTATTATAGGCACCCCTTTTCACACCCCGTTTATTATAGGCACCCTTTTTTGAATTAAAAGTTTTAATAATATTATGTGAAAGGAATATAACTCACATATTCCAAAAATTTATGTTATCATTTTTTACAGTTGCTATGACCGTAAAAATAACAGACCATATATAAGTATACATATATACATATATATAACAGAATTTGTTTTCTTAAAATTAGTAATGCAGTTTTATTCGGATAATAGTACAGCAATTTTTTCTGGCATCGAGTTAAGTACATCAGGCTTTCCAGCCTATAATAGGACGGTTAGGTAAATCAGCCAGCCTAGAACGAATCAGTATCACGTCTTCTACTGTAACTAGAAGGTCATCTTTCGCGGTAGTCAGCTCATTCACTGCCCTCCTTCCAAGCCGTTTAGGACACCATGTGATTTTCTCAGCCTGTAACACTTCGGCCAACCATTCGCGTCCACCTCAGACGAGGTGGACGCGAAACTTTTCTCGTGGAGGAGGAGCTGGATGTGCTGTCTGTCGAAGCAGCTGCCGGGCGATCCATCCATGTGCCGCTCAAGCTTAACGGCGTTCCTGTGTCACCTGTCCTGGATACAGGCTCTAGTGTCACGCTATTGTGACTGCTGACACGTGGAGGTCGCTGGGATCACCGAAGCTGTCGCCATACACGTCCCTCCTGCGAAGCTTCACGGGCCACGCCCTGAAGGTCATTGGGACCGTGACAGTAGACGTCACGCACGGTCGGAACAGCAAGGCGCTACCCGTTATCGTTGTGGCCAGTGGCGGCAATGTGCTGGGAAGAGACTGGATCCGGGCCCTCGACCTGAGCCGATTGAGCCTACGAGATCTCCAGTCAGCCTCCGTGTCGGCCGTCTCCGGAATCACAGTGGAGGAGCTGCTGGCAAACACAGCGCTGTGTTCCGCGAAGAGTTAGGCCATTGCCGTCACTACAAAGCACACCTGCACTTGAAACCCGGAGCCGTGCCGGTGTTTCGAAAGGCGCGGCCAGTACCGTTTGCATTCCGGGAAGCCCTGGAGCGCGACCTGGACCGCCTCGTGGAGAAAGGGATCCTGACTCCGGTCGAGCGGGCGGACTGGGCAGCTCCGGTGGTGACCGCGCAGAAGCGGGATGGGGACATCCGCACCTGTGCCGACCTTAGCACGGGCCTGAATGACGCCCTCGATGTCCAGCAGTATCCGCTGCCGACACCGGATGAGCTCTTTGCCAAGCTCAATGGCGGTCGGAAATTCACCACCCTTGACCTGGCGGAGGCGTACGCCCAAGTCGAGCTGGACGACGACAGTAACAAACTGGTGGTAATCAATACCCACAAGGGGTTGTTCCGATACAACAGCCTTCCTTTTGGCGTGGCGTGCGGCCCCAGCATCTTTCAACAGATAATGGCAAGCGTCCTCCAAGGCTGCGAGGGCGTGGCCATCTATCTCGATGACATCATTGTCACCGGGGCGACCGAAGAGGAGCACCTGAGGAACCTGGAGAAGGTCCTTCAGCGTTTGGAGGAGCACGGGTTCACGCTCAAACGGAGCAAGTGTCACAGTATCTGGGGTTCGTGGTGGACCACCAAGGTCGCCACATCTCCCAGGATCGAGTGAAGGCTCTCCGAGAAATGGCCCGTCCCAGCAACATCAGTGAGCTCCGCGCGTTTTTGGGTTTGGTTAACCACTACGGGAAGTTCGTCCGCGACCTTTCCGGGAAGTGTGCCCCGTTCCATGCCCTCCTGAAGACCGGAGTTCCCTGGTCTTGGTCCAAGGACTGCGAGTCCCAGTTCCTGTCCCTGAAGGACCAAATTGTCCGCGCAACCTTCCTGGTCCACTCTGACCCGCGGATGCCATTGGTCCTTGCGGCGGACGCGTCCCAGTATGGCGTCGGTGCCGTGATATGCCACCGTTTCCCAGACGGAACGGAACGCCCGATTGCCCATGCGTCCAAGACCCTGACAACGGCCGAGAAGAACTACGGACAGATAGAAAAGGAAGCCCTGGCACTCGTCTTTGGCTGCCGGAAGTTCCATCAGTACATCGCCGGGCGCGAGTTTACTCTGTGTACTGACCACAAGCCGCTTCTGAGCGTTTTCGGTACCAAGAAGGGAGTTCCAGTGGTGACAGCAAACCGTTTGCAGCGATGGGCGCTCATGATGATGGGGTACTCCTTCAGCATCGAGTACCGCCGGACGGAGGACTTCGGCCAGGCGGACGGCCTCAGCCGCCTACCGCTGCATTCGACGGAGCTGGACGGACTCTACGGGCTGGGGATGGACAGCGTGGTGAACGCAATCCACCTAGATAACGTGTCCCGTTTCCCCGTGGCAGTCGAAGCCATTGCACTAGAGACCGCCCGCGACCCGGAACTGTCCAGAGTGTTCGAGTACGTCATGACTGGTTGGCCTGCCTCTGTCGAAGAACACCTGCGTCCGTACAAACGACTCGAACACGACCTGGTGGTGGTAAATGACTGCATCTGCTGGGGCTCCCGGACAGTCATACCAGCGAAACACCGACAGGAAATACTCGACTACCTGCATGCCGCCCACATGGGCGCGGGGAAGATGAAGGGTGAGGCCCGGGGATACTGCTGGTGGCCACACATGGATGCGGACATTGAGCGCATCTCGAAAGAGTGTCGCATCTGTTCCGAGCGAGCGAAGGAAACGGCCAAAGTGCCACTGTCGCAGTGGGAAGTCCCCGTTGCGCCATGGAAACGGCTCCACATGGATTTCGCCGGTCCATTCCACGGGACAATGCTCCTGCGACCAAGCGAGTGCTAATAAATATTCCTGTTTATTATTACGCCGTGACACCTACTTTCTACATTAAAAGCTTAACAACGCCGCCCGCTTGCCCTAAGGGCGGTTACGACCTTCTATGCTAGTTATGCAGCAATATTTTACTTTTAACATCCCAGTCTGTTGTCCACCATTGCTGGATGTCACATGCGGCTCGTGCACATCAATTTTGTCCACCAGTCATTAAACGCAGAACGACTACTGAGCTGATGTTTACAGGGTCTGTATTACTACCAAAGCGTGGATCCGCGGTTATCGACGCACTATCGCGGTTGCCAGTGGAAGGAGAAAGAACTGCGCCAACTGGATGTGACGAAGTTGACCAAGCTAGCCGCGGTGGCGATGTACGCCCTTCTAAAGAGTGCGGCACACTGGCCACGACACCGTGTCTAAGGGCTCCGTATGAGCACTGGCAGTTTCTGTTTATCCGGTCTTTTGTTTCCATCCTGTGGTGTAAGGTGTATATAACCAGTACTCTGCCTGTCGACAAAATAATAGAGCATTCGTATATAGTCAACGTAGTGCAGTGGCAAACATTCGAGCGTCAACTTCGCGCTAAAATCGATTACTGTAACCTGTTGCTTTATAAGCACAATTTGTCCACAGGGTTGCACGCTGCTGTACCTCTTATGACATTTTATCATGTGTATGTGTTGGTTTTTTATTGTATTTGGGGGAACTTATTTTTTTTTGTATTTGGGGGAACATTAAAAGAACGCGAAATTGTACGACAGACATTTAGCAAGTGTCACCCCGAATTTTTGCAGCCTGACGAAAGTGAACTGTCACTGCTCGGTGCTCCTCTTTTGCAGGCTGGAATCCCGGACGCAATTCTTAAGAAGACACAGGACCCGGAGAGACTTTCCTCGAAGCTAAGTATATTGCCTGCACACCAGGCCTACTTCCTTCTGCGAACCTGCATTTGTGTTCCCAAGATGAATTATTTACTTCGAGCATGACCAACTTGGCTATGCGGTGATGAGCTGGACAAAATTGACAGCGTTGCCAGATTAGCCTTAGAGTCGGTAGCAAACGTTCAGATTGACGGTGTCACTTGGGCCCAAGCATAGCTCCCCGTTTCATGTGGTGGTTTGGGAATCAGACGTGTGGCAGAACTAGCAACTCCAGCCTATTTGGCTTCGGTTTATGCCACATCGTCTCTGGTTTCCGACATTACCTCTGGATCGGAGAGTCGTGACTTGGTGCACCAGTTGTGGCAATCAGCATCGGGTGCTGAGCTACCACCAGAAAAGCTTCGGCGATTACAAAAAGTGTGGGACGCCGCTTTAGTGAAGAAAACTTGCGAAGTTATCATGAACACGTTTGCGAATGACATAACCCACCGTGCGCGTTTGCTTGCAGTTGCTCAACCGGAATCGGGGAAATGGCTGAACGCTCTACCTACGCCTTCTCTTGGAACATTGATGTCGGATGAGAGCTTCCGTGTAGCGGTCGGACTACGGATCGGTGCGCCCCTCTGCAGTCCTCATCTGTGCACTGACTGTCGCTTACCCGTGGACAAATATGGTCATCATGGACTGTCATGTAAAAAGAGCGCAGGCCGTTTCATACGGCATTCGGCCTTGAATGAAGTGATCCGAAGAAGCTTAGTCACCGCCAATATACCGGCTGTACTTGAACCGCGAGGGACCAGTGACGTCGATGAACGGCGGCCGGATGGTGTATCACAGCTGCCTTGGAGAAACGGACGACGGCTTGCTTGGGATGTCACACGCATGGACTCGTTTGCCTTATCTAATGTCATCAGTAGCAGTAGCAAAGCCGGAGAAGCAGCAAGGAAAGCGGAAGAAGAAAAGCGCCGGAAGTACGACTACCTAGCCAATGAGTACGACTTTGAACCTTTAGCTTTTGAGACTTCCGGTGTCACCGGCCCAGCCTGTCTGAAGTTCTTACGCGAACTGGGGAGGCGGTTAAAGGATGCTAGTGGAGAAGCACGCTCTTACGAGTTTTTGCTACAGCGTCTTAGCATTGAAATACAGAGAGGAAATGCGCTGTCGATAACGTCGACTGTTCCACGTTCGGACGGTCTTAATGCTGTTTATTTTGTTTTGTAATGTTTCGGAATGTGATGTTTATACTTCTTCCTGCTAACTAAATCAATAAAAGAAGGTTACTCTAAAAAGAAAAAAAAAGTTTTTTATTTCATTTTGTACTACTAATGCAGTAATTTGTGAATTCTATTGGTACGCGTTTTTACTAGCACAATCCAACACGAGCGATACAAACGGTGACCATCCGAGACGTAAAGCCAGAGGCGGGGCTAGACCGACAGTATAGTGAGCGAGTGCGTGCAAGACAAGACAAGACAACTTTATTCCCCCAGATTTCTTCTGGCAGGGGCACACCATGCGTTGTGCCGTATGATTAGGTGTAAAATTATAGCTTTTGCAGAACAAACATCGATGATGTCAAGAAAATAGTATCAAACATAACAAGTTAACAATGTAAAACGTAAAACAAAAGGCGATGTAAAACATGATGTACGTAAAACAAAAGGAAGGTGAGTTTATGGATTCAACTGCATTTTAGTTGCAGAAAGCTTTACACAGGCAGCAGTAACAATTCGCCGCAAAATACTTTGCGGCTATCTTTCAAGATCTGGTTAAAAAAATTGCTTAAACAAAAGAACAGCGTTTTATCGTGCTCCGTCGGCGTGTCCTTTTTTCGTAGTAAGTTCTGCATTGTTTCCACTAGCTCGCCATCCGGTATTGAAAGGTCATGGAAAGCTAGTCGCTCTTTTAGTTTCTCCCTGTGTGGAAAGTATCCCGGACATTCATTCAGTGCATGATACTCGTCTTCCACGACCTCACAGAAGTTACATATCCGCTCCTCTCGTGACAAACCGTTCCATCTTCCTGTTTCCACAGCCAGATAGTGACCGGAAGTCAACATTTTTACCCAGTTTCCGCTTATTATCACAGGCATCGTTTTCAACAAGTCCACTTCTCCGCTTACCGGTAGACACTGAAATAAAAAATGCAACCTGCTGCTCCTGGCAGCATTATCCTGTACCGACTTAAATAGATTCGCCCGGAATGTTTTCTCGAGTCTCGTCATTATGTCAACTGAATTCAGCTGTGCCAGCTGATTACGAATATCTTGGACCGTGTTTGTTAGGTTAATTTCGATTTCTTCCGGTAATTCCCTAAGCGCATTTTTTATCCAGCATCTCTTTCTGCTTTTGCCAACCAAAATGCTTTCCTCAAAAGCCGCTCGTAGAAACGTCCCTGAGTTTGCGCGACTGAGCTTTTCGAAAAACCGCATCTGCTGACGTACTTGTCTGAGACTGAGTGGTAGCAGATTCAAAAGGTACAAAATTGCATCGGTGTTCGTAGTGCTTCTGAGACTGAAAATTCGCTTGGCAAAGTTGATCTGCACTTTGTCAATTTCGCTGTTTTTTCCGCATAATTCCGAGCCATAGGTTAGCACGCTTCCCACGACTGCTTCGAAAATTATTTGTGCAGTCTTCCATGTGAACCCGGTTTTTATCCCTGATACTTTCTGTATTGCCATGTTGTATCCCATTTTTACCCGCTCTGTTAAATGCTTAGCAGACTTCTTAAGATCGCATTGTTCGTTTAACACGAAACCTAGATACCGAAATTCTGGAACCTGTTCTAATTTTCGACCATCGATTTCAATGTGGCAGGAAATTTGTCTTCGAATAGCACCTTTCGCCACCATACAAAACGATTTGGCGTAGTTAATTATCAGCTCGTGTTCTTGTGCAAACTGACTTAATCGATCTACCGAAATCAACAGTTCCTCTTCGTTTTCGCTTATCAATACGATATCATCGGCAAACTTCAGGAGGTACACAGGGAGATCTCCCAGTGCAATATCTGTTACACGCCCTTCTCTTACATATTTTGTTAAAGGGTCAACGTATAGATCGAACAACATTCCTGATGACGGATCGCCCTGCCTAACACCCTTTTCTAACGGGAAAGATCCTGACGATTCTTTGTTCCATTTTACGCAGTTTTTTGCCGCTCCATACATGTTTTTCAAAAATCTTAACATTTTTAACGAAATTCCTAACTCAGTCAAACGTTCCCATAACTTCTGGTGACAAACTGTGTCAAACGCACTAGAAAAATCGATAAAAGCAAGAAAAATCGGCTTTTTACGAAAAGCGTATTTTTCGCAGATGATGTGCAGTATGTATATTTGGTCAAAAGTGTTCCTGCCTTCTCGAAACCCACCCTGGTCATCTTCGATGTGCGCCCACAGTTCGATTCGCTTCGCCAAGATTGATGACAGCAAACGCATGGGCAGTGGTTCGACAACTACCGGACGACAATTTTCTGGACTGTGGGCTTTTCCTGGTTTCGGTACCGGTGTAAGTGTGCCGTTCAACCATTCTTGTGGAATAATGCCAGATTCAAATACGTGATTAAACGTATTTGCTAGGATTTGCAAAAACTGCTGATTTTTACACATTTTTTTGAAAATTTCAGTGCACAACGGAAATGAGCCGCTGCTGCTTGTAGCGGCTACTTTTGCGACTACTCGTTGGATTTCGTTCACAGTTATTTCAGAATCGAGGACTGGTATCGAAGGTGAAAGGTTAATATGTGGTGTTTTACTTACCGCAGAATCATAGGAAGCCTTTTGTTTAAAATACTCGTATAGGTCATTCAAGCTGATAGGAACAACGGAAGTACAACTGTCTTCATTTTTCCTGAAGCTTAACATTTTCCAAAACATTTTTGGGTTCTCGCGCTGTAAATGTTTCACTTTTTCCCAATATATCCGCTCGTAAATGCTGTTGTATTGCAAAACTTTTTTTCGGAACTTCTTCCTGGCCGACCAAAAAACCTCACGTGTTTCTTCAGTGTTATTTGCAGTCATAATTTTCCAGCACTGTATTTTGACGTTCTTAAGCTCAAGAATTTCGTTCTGTAATACCTGGAGTTCTGGTGTAAAGGGATCGAAAGGTATTTTCTGTTTCCGAATGTTCGCCCGCACATATTCGACAACGCTGTTAAACAAGGATATATCGCCATAATTGTTGTGCTGGAAGTTATTACCACTGAATAAAAAGCATAATACACTTTCAATGTTCATCGTTAAAAACGGGTGCATATCACTTTCCTTCTTCTTGGTGTTTTTGATTGACCTCGCGATGTCCATGTTTAACAATATTCTGAGCGGTAAATGATCTGAAAAATCAAGATTTTCTAAGATGTCGAACTCCAAAATCTTTTCCACGCTCTGTTGATAAACTATCAAATAGTCGACGACTGAGTGACCGTTATAATGTATGCAAGTAAATTTTGATGGAAATGATTTTTCAAAGTACTGCAACCCATTAAGCGGTGTCATACCGTTTACACTGCAAAATTCAACAAGTTTTCTACCTCGAGCTGTCGGTCGAGTAGCCTGTGTATCCACGTTCTGTAAATTGACGTATTCGATACTTCCTGATTCATTTTCCCGGTTTACATCCGCTTTCCAAAGCTTTGGCTTTAGATTTGCTATACGTGCATTAAAGTCACCGCATAACAGTACGTAACTTTCAGCCCTTGCGCGCTGAACTATTTCCGTAAGTTTTTCAAAACTTTCATTGTCATCAACGTTGACAACCGAATTGAGCGGCGGCAAGTAAACACAGACCACGACAACGTTTTCGTTTGCAGAAACATTTATTTTTACCGCTAAAATATCACCATAAGATTCTTGCTCGTAGACAGTACAGGACTTGAATTCACTTTTAACATACACTGCGATTCCTCCCCCGGCAAAATTCGTTCGCACTTTGGACACCGTCTGATAGCCGGATACTTGCTTTATTTCGTGTTTGTTTTTTAGATGTGTTTCAACAAGTACAACCACATCGTGTTTTTTGATGAATTCACTGAAGTCGTTTTCGAACAAAGCGAACGTTCTTTTTAATCCGTTAACGTTCAGATAGACTATCGATAACCGCGTGTGCAAGTTCCTGGTTGCACGTGTACCACTGATATTACCGCTCTCTTCCGTTGACCAATTGAGTAGCCCGACAGATCGTTCGGTACTACGATTACGTTCCGTTGACACATTTGGTAGCCCGACAAATTTTTCGTTAATATCGCACTGCTCCGTTAAGCTCAGCCGATCGTTAATTTGAAATTCCGATTGACGCCATCTGTATTCAGCTTTAGTATCCGTAGTACAAAACGATCCCGATTGACGCTCAAATAGTTCAGCTTGTGGAGTAACGGCACACTGTCTACAGTTATCTATAAGACTTGCACACGAGTTATTTCGTTCTCTATCTAACAGCGTGGCTCTTCTTACCGTATATTTTTCGATTTCGTAAAATTTTGTTGTGCTATATTCTGTTTGGTTTTCAAGTGTCCGGCTATCAACCCGGATACCATTGCTCTCGATTATTTGCGAGGCCCAATAACCTGACCTACAGAGAATTCTCTTCCAGGACTGTACATGCGCACTTCTTTCAAGACTGTAACCAGCATCCCTTTTTATAGAAGAACTTGCCGCCTTTTCATACAAATAATATGTATTCGGGTTATTCGTTTTCGAAGCTAGTTTTTTTGAAACGTACGGGATTTTAGAATTTTACTGACCTTCACTCTGGTATCGTGATAAACAGGACATCGCTTATGGTCAAACGCGTGGTGTGGGTTTTCTTCTGTTTGTTTTCCTGAACTGACGCAGTTGACACATTTCGGAGTATCCTCCCAATTGCAATTACAGTTTTCAAACCGGTGAGACTCAATACAAAAACCGCATTGTGTTAAGAAAGTGCATGTCTCCTTTCGGTGCCCGTAACGACAGCAGTTGCCGCATTGAATTACATGGAAATGCTCTTCAACTGGACATAGTTCAAAATCAATTGTAACCTTTCCCCTTTTCAACAAATAATCCGCGGCGCCACTGCTTGTTTCAATTACAAACGCGCATGTGTTAATGCTTTCATTTCCGCTCTCCAATTTTACGACAATTTTCAAATTTTCCCGAAAGTATTCCAAAGAATTTTGAATGATCAATTTTTCCAGAAATTCAGTTTTGGTTACGGCCTTATCTACTTTGCGAACAATTAAACGAGGCATCTTCTTCTTAGGCTCAGACACAGAGCATTTCAGACTTTCGCTTCGCTTAGTTATTTCGGCCTTACCTTTGTCGTAGTCCGCTCGAGTAGGAAACGTCATGATCACTGACTTCCCGTAGCCCGGCTTAACATTTTTTAGTGCGAATGTCCGGCTTTCACATGGGATGTGTTCCTGTAGAGCAGATTTAAATGCTCGGACGGTTTGTGGGTCTGGCTTTGCAGGTGCGTTGGTATTTTCGGCCTCTTCTATATCTGTTGGTCGTATAATTAGCACGTGGTCTGTTTGCCCATTTTCCGTGTCCATAATACCATTTCCATAAAAACGGCGGTGAGAGGGGCTGGCTATAGTAATTTCTTGGCCACCTTTCCAAAATTCACGTCGGTGATCGGCCACGCTTGCATAACTTCGTCTGGTAGAGGCTGGTTGCGCATTCTGTCTGCCGTATCCGGGTTCGCCGCCATTTGTAATTTCGATGATTTCAGGTTCTTCGGTAGCGGCTTCTTTCCACGCCACCAGTTCGTTTACTGTTTCGAGCAATCCGTTATGCGATTCTTTTAATCCTTCAATTTTGTCGTCGAGGGTCCCAACATCTTGCTTTTGATCTAAATCGATTTGGTGAATGTGGCCTTTCAGGTCTTCATCGGATTTGAGTAGGTCCGCGTCGCCGCCTGCTCGTATTTGGCGCTCATCGTCGAGTTCTTTCTTCAGTTTGCTGTTTTCCGATTCCAGAGAAGTCACCCGTGCCGACAACAACGAAGATTCCGCCACCAGTTTACGAATAACGGGGATGATGAGGTCGAATACGTTTTTGTTGCCAGATGTGGGAACGTATGTATGAGTTCCAAAGCGTTCATCCAGTTTGCCAAGCAAGTCGATCAGTGATTCCGACATGGCACCAGAATTCCGTGGGGATTTGGCTGGTGCAGATGTTCTCGACATTTCCCAGGATCACGTATTACATATATTATACCATCGTACTATTAAAACACCAGCATTGTTTTAAATAACAAAAGAAAATACTTATTGCGACAATTCCACGACATGCTCAATGGAGGATGAAGTGTTTGATGCTGTACAGCGTTGGTCCGATTACGATCTGGATGGTCGAAAGGAGCAGCTGTCCAGCATGAGGCATGCAGCAAAAATATACGCACTGCACAGGAAAAATTTTAAGTATCTGTAAAGCATTTTTGCAACAGCCTCGAATGAACGGCGTGATGTAAATAAATTCGTAAAATGTTACGTACTATTAATTAGTACAAAGCGCGTTTATCCTGTAAAATAGCAGATTACAACTGCATGAGTGCGATTTGCGCTCAGTGCACCGGAAGCAGGACTGTCGCTAGCTGCCACGCACTCAGCTTTTTTGACTTCTTAAGACGGTCCGAACCACTAATTCTATTTGCGCTGAAGCAACGTCAAAAACGTACATTGTACATATATTATGGAAAATTCAAACTGTGGCAATATCATCCCAAATAACATTCCTCATGCTGGTTTTTGTTACAGTAATTGTTCGTCTGGTTGATGATTAGTACGTTTCAGCTATTGATTAGTTCATTATCGAGAGGTGCACAATTCGAATATTGGGCAGCAAACATTGATTTCTCAGCGTCTCGCACAGATTATACGCGCATCTGGCGCTTCATTGCGGATATAAGTGGAATTGTAAGTATAATTTCGTGGTGTCATCGTTGTCATGCGTGTTTACGGAGAGAACGAACGACAGCAGCCGGTGTACGCGTGGTACACCGTGGACGTCCTTGTCGACGGCTTGTTACAGCACGGCGAAGTGGCCGCCGTAGCCGACAACGGAATGATCATTGATTTCGGCTGCGAAGCGCAGCGCGTCGATTACGGAGCCATGTACCATTCGCAGAGTCCCTTTGGTCGTCTGGAATTGGACGTATCTGTAGATCCCCACGTACAGGTCCTGGTGCGAGGTAGTCCCAAGGATCCGTGGAAATGGTACCCCGGACAGGCTCTGTCACTTGGAAAGGACTGCTACTTTGCCAATATGTTCATCGTGGAGATGCAGCTCTCCCACGGCGTCGTCAAGGAATTCCTGCCCGCAGATCAGGTGCGGCGCCCGCCCTTGAAGGCGGACTTAACTAGCCGCTGCGTGAAGGAAAATGATTACGTAGTCCGCGAATGCTCCTTGCCGGCAGCCTGGTCCGAGGGGCCGCCGGAGCTTCGGGAGATGTGTAAAGGAAATTTACCACGATCGCGCTGCACGGCGGTGCGGGGCAAAACGCTGTACTATGTTCAACGCTGGACCAGGTTACCGGTGCTGTACACCCATGAGCTGGTGCGTCGCTCAGTATAAATGTTCTCTTTGCCGAATACCACGAAACTCTACTCGGGATGGGTGACATTCTTTTATAACACCAACAAAGAAAACATACGACAATCCTAGTTACCAATAATATGTAGTTTTGTGCAAAACTCCATACGGCATACTGGCCAGTGGCCACTAATCTAAGACGATGTGCAGCCCATTTGAAAATTTTCAACACAAACTTACTGTAGTTAGTATGGTTCTTGGGGCGCTGCATTTTATGGATACTTGAAGTATATGTTTTAGTAGGCAATAGCCATCAAAGTAAAAAAAAATGCAAGGGCGGGCAAACTATATTACAGTTAGAATACTCGTATAAACACTAAAAAACAACCAAAATCTCTATCCATCCGCGGGTTAAACGGCAAGGTACTCATTGCCAGAGGCCGCCCAGAGCCAAACTAAAACCTTTTTGATAAAAGCAGTAGAACATGCTCCCCAGTTAATTCAAGAAACTTTCGGCCCATGAAATGTACCATTCCACTAAAAGCTGGGCCGAAAACCCCCAACGTTTCAGTCACTAAGGGTCAAAAAAGGTGTCGATTTTCCAGTGGAGAGTATTTCCTTTGCCTTTCCTTTGACAGAGCTGAAGCACTCTCACGCTCTGTAAGGCTGTATGTAAGCAGTAAACTATCTGTACACATTTCCCCACAACAGCATAAATGCCGTTGTGGGGAAATGGTTGACGCGTTTGGCTTACATGGCCTGTCGTGCATAAGAAGTCAAGGAAGGTTCAGGCGGCACCCCAGTCTGAACAGTGTAATCCAACGGAGTCTGGGTTCAGCAAAGGTGCCGACAATCTTGGAACCGCCCGGACTGAGCAGATTAGATGGGAAACGGCCGGATGGCTTATCACTCTTTCCTTGGAAAAATGGCCTTCCTCTGATTTGGGATGTGACGGTTGTTGACACGTTCGCTACGTCGTATGTAGCCAGTTCATCAGAAGCCGCGGGATCTGCAGCTGATGACGCGGAAACACGAAAAAGAAACCTTTACTCGGAACTGACTGATCGACACTTTTTCGAACCAATCGCCCTCGAAACGATGGGAAGTTGCGGCGGTAGTACCCGTCATTTCATCAACGAAGTTGGCCGACGCATTAAAGAGCAAACAGGAGAAGCGCGCGCCACCGAATTTTTGTGGCAACGTCTAAGTGTGGAAATTCAGCGCGGGAACGCTGCTTCTGTTCTGGGAACGGTTGGGTGTTCTAAACAGCTTGAAGAATTGTTCTTTTTGTTCTAAATTGGTTTACCAAGTTCAAGTGTAAATGGCTTTTAGCTTGTACAATTTGTCAATAAAGTTACTATGTTTTATCTGTACACCTCCTGTTTTCTGCTCCAAGTAAAACATTTCCGAATGAACTGGCAGGCTAACGAAAACGCGACCTGGATTGAATTTTTGCAGGAACAACTGTACATAGAGGTGAAGGAACTTTTTAACCAGAGAATCGTTAGGAATAATCTGACTGCAGCTGAAACGCGCAAGGACAGTGCCAGCGATATACTGATGTATCTGTATTTGCCATGCGAACTGCTGATCGAAGTCTTCGGTTCACTGGACAGCGTGAACCGCAGCCGTTGTCGGCGCACCTGCGCCCTGTGGAACGCTATCCTCACCACGGAGGCTTGTTTAGCCGATGTGTCGGTTGCCGGCGGAAAAAAGAGCGTCCTGTCGTCTCACAAGCAGCCTCTGTTCTGGACGCTGGCGTGCCTTCTTCACTGCCTCAACAGCACCACATCGAAGGTGACATTCACGCAGATGCGCATGGCCGATTGCGTCGCGGCTACCAAAATGATCGGCCATATTCTCGGCGACAGTAACCGCATCGGCACGCTGGTGTTCGCTCGGTGTTCTTTACGTGTTGACACTGGTCTGGATTTACCGTACATCATTGTCGGTCTCGGGTGGATATGCCGTATCGCGGAGCGCGCGTGCTGGCTGCAATGCCGTATTGTGGACCCGCTGCTGACTGCCGTGTGGTCGCACGAGACGGTCGTCTGTCAACCCGCAGAGCAGCTGTACTTGCAGCTGTGGAATCTTTTTGAGAAGCACGTGGTGCACGAACCCTTCCTCCTGACGGAGTTATCGAAGCAGCTTCGTTATATCGGAACAGATCAACGAAGAATAGCCGACTACCTGACCAGGGTATGTTTCCCCTTCCGTTCTGTTGAGCGGGAGTGGTAGACACAAATTGTTATAATTCGTTTTGTTTGCAGATTCTGTACGCTTATCAAAGCAGCGATCCGCGCTTGTCGGCGCGCTATGGCGGATATGAGTGGACGGCGGAGGAAATACGCACATTGGACCTGAAGGAGCTGAGCCAGGTGGCAGGGGCGGCGGTGCACGCTGCTGTGAAGAAAGCGCTCGGACCAAGCCGTATTTAAATACCGGTTGCGAAGATATTAGCAGTTTATCAAATTCGAATTTGGTCATGAGCTAAACAGCGTTCGTACACGCCGCCCGCACGTACATGTACACGGTGTTTCAGTGACTGTGATGTAGTTTCATAAGGCTGACCTGTGCTAGCAACTGGGATATAAAAATAAAATAAAAAACCAGTATCAGCTAGATGGTTTGTTTTCGATCTGCAAGTGTTTCTTCCCTTGAATTCTTACTGTAGCCTAGTTAGAATTGGGTTGTTCGCGTGTTGGCGGTGCCAGGAAGTACCATTGTATGAACTGGTATACCAATTTACCAATACCATTTACTGGCATTTAGCTGCATTTGGCTACATTAGCTCAAACACCCGGGGCGGTTCAGCGTACCGACGTAAGTCCTGGAAATTATCGCATTGGACAAAAACGAACGCCATACAGCCTGCGTTGCGCCAGTCAACTTACCATGAAATGCAACGCGGCTTTGAAATGAGGGGAAACTCCAAATTACGTAACGCGGCTTTGAAATGAGGGGAAACTCCAAATTACGTTCAGCAGCACCTAGTAAATATCAATCACAGCGGAAATCATGCGCTTGAGTTACGTTCCCTTGGATGTTTTTAAACTGCTGGTACTTTGTACACTGCTTGTTTTTTAACGAAGGTGAGATGTCTCGCTTTTTTTGGCTACTGGTTTGTGTGAGACTAAACTCTATAACAATTTTCTCATTTTTCCCGTATGATGAATTTAAATGTTTCTCCAGGGCAGCTTTAAAATCCCATACCAGACGGTCACCCTAGCCGAAAGTGGGCCACCTGCTCTGATGTAAATTAAATTAAATTTATTTTTCCCGTTTATAAAGGATATGCTTAATCTATTAAGAAGTAGAAAAAAAATCAAGTTTAGAAATATTGGAATATGCCGCTTCATGTACCCGTCAACGAATTCCGCTTTTTTAGATGGAGCATTTAGCTTTTCAAGGTCTGAAAATCGGTCTGGCGATCAAATGTTGAATTATGTTATTGAGTGCTGGGAAGTGGGAAAATCAAACAGCTTGCCGGCCGTCCCGCTTACGTTCTAAACCGCTTGCCAGTTCACCCGCGCACGGATGGCTGTTTGTTGTATTTCCGTTTCCGGTTGTGCTCAATAATGCTCATAGTTCATACTACCACGTTACTCTATGACGTTGCCGTGTAATAATACTTGTTAGTTATTAGTACTCGTAATAAAGCAGATTTTCCGTCAGACAGGCATGATGACGTCGCCTGACTCGCCTCTGGCCTGC